AACCCAGCCCAGGTTGAAAACTACAGACCGGTTTCTCTTCTGCCCTTTCTGTCAAAAATACTTGAGCGCAAAGTCTTTAAGCAAGTCTCTGAGTTCCTGTCCAGAAACGATCTGTTTGACCCAAATCAGTCAGGCCACTCTACTGAAACTGCACTACTGCCAGTAATAGAATCGCTACGAGCTTCCATAGATGCGGGTCAGTCCTCAGTTCTATTACTGCTAGACCTGTCTGCTGCCTTTGACACAGTCAATCATCAAATCCTCCTATCCACGCTCTCTGAACTTGGCATCTCAGGATCTGCCCTCTGCTGGTTCGTGTCCTACCTCTCTGGTGGATCCTTTAGAGTGTCGTGGAAGGGAGAAGTTTCCAAAGCGCACAGCTCATCCACAGGGGTACCTCAAGGGTCAGTGCTTGGTCCCCTTCTCTTCTCCATATACACAAGCTCACTTGGTTCAATAATCCGCTCTCATGGCTTCTCATACCACTGCTATGCTGACGATACCCAGCTCTTCCTGTCATTCCCGCCAAACAATGTTACAGTCTCTACAAGGATCTCGTCATGCCTTGCTGATATCTCTAAATGGATGAATGAACGCCACCTTCAACTCAATCTTTCAAAGACTGAGCTCCTTGTCATCCCAGCCAGTCCCTCTATGCAACCACAGATCAATATCCAGCTTGGAACAATCAAACTCATGCCCACAAAGTCTGCCCGGAACCTGGGTGTCATGATTGAAGACCAGCTAACTTTTAAGGTTCAAGTAGCCTCGATTGCCCGGTTATGCCGATTTGCCCTGTACAACATCAGGAAGATCAGACCTTATCTGTCAGAACACGCTACACAGCTCCTGGTAGAGGCTCTTGTGATATCACGCATTGACTATTGCAACTCTCTACTGGCAGGTCTTCCTACATGCACTATCAAACCCCTGCAGATGATACAAAATGCAGCAGCACGACTGGTCTTCAACCTTCCTAAAAGAGCACATGTCTCTCCGCTGTTCATCTCCTTACACTGGCTCCCAGTTACTGCTCGCATCAAATTTAAAACTTTGCTGCTCGCTTACAAAACAGCGACAAAAACGGCTCCTCCTTACTTTAACTCTCTCATCCAGGTCTACACTCCCTCCCGCCCACTACGCTCTGCCAATGAAAGGCGTCTGATCCAACCTTCACAACAGGGTCCTAAGCTGCTGACTAGACTCTTCTCCTCTGTTGCCCCCCCGGTGGCGGAATGAACTTCCAAACTCCATTCAATCTGCAGAGTCCCTCTGCATCTTTAAGAAAAAGCTAAAGACCCAGCTCTTTGAAGGCGTCCTGTCATTGCGGTCCGACGAACCCCGTCTTCACCTTCCCTGAGCCATCAGCCCCTTCCTGTTTTAGTGAGTTCAGATATTTGTTTTGCTTTTTGATTTTGGTGAAGAGAGTGTGGAGAGGCTTTAGCACTAAGTGACTGTCTCCTCTGTTCTTACTAGGTGTGTTCAATTGCCAATCAGCTGCCCCCCCTCACAAACACTATGGGAGGAAATGAGGTTCCCTAATAGCCGTCAGCACTGGGAGTTGTAGTTTCCTCCCAAAACATTAAAACATAGCTACCACACCTCCTGTTCACAACCAGCTTTTATATTAACGAAAGAAAGAAAAGCTAACGATCTGTCCGTAACAGTATTTTAAATTACATTATATTATTTGAAATGTTAAGAGCTCTGATGGAGGCTAAAGCAGCAAATCAAACTGAACAAAAAATAAGTAGCGACAGTTTTCAGAAGGTTGGTTGATCTGGCTGCACACCGGGCCAACCATCCTAATCTGAGTCACTGTCCTGCCTTAGACCGTTACGGAGAACCTCCCAGAGACTGTGTCGGAACCTGTTTGAGGAGGATATGAGGCCTGAAGTTGAGGGAGTGGGTTCTTCTCCCTCTTCTCTGAGGCCTTCCTCTGCACTCCTTGGCCTCTGAGCAGGATGCTGCACCTCCTCTTCCTCCTCCCTTCTCCTCTTCCTGGAGGTGATGAGGCCAGACGTGGATGGAGCTGCTTCTTCAGGGATGTGGTCAAGGCAACTCCAAGAGTCCTGGGATGGTGATGGCAGGTCCTCAAAGCGAAGAGGTCTGATGCTGTTCTCATCCTCTGCAGCATCCTCTTCATCGGCCTCTCCACCGTCGTCCAAGTCGTCACCATCCTCTTCATCAGATGACATGGAGCGGTAACCAGAATCCTCTCTGATCGTACGTGAAATGTCCCTCGGCCTAAGAGGAGACCAGCTTTCTTCTTCCTCCTCTCCTCTCTCCTCCTCACAAGAAAACTTTAACATTTGGGTTGTGATTTAATAAGCAACAATCAAAGTTAAAAAGTTAGAAATAGCTTTAAAAATAGATTCACATGTTTATTCTTATGCTGTAACATATAGCTGACAAAAACAGACATTACCTTTTCCCAGCACAGAGTCATCTACTTTAAAATGTCAGAAGAGTGGAAACAACAAACACATACAAATATCTCTCATGTGAAATAACCAGTAACCAAATTATTTTGACTGATAACAGTGTTCAAGGAAGACCAAATCACTTATATCAAGATACATCAAACAACTCACACAAGATTCCTCTGCTGATCCTGATTAAGATCCCAACACAAACACACACACACACACACAATCACAGCAGAGATCACATGTTCGGACATGCAGCATGCAGCATCACCACTTTGTTAGAACATGCTGATTTGAGGAAATTCTTACCTTATGATAAAATACTGATTTGGTCCCAGGCCCAGCCCGCCTATGAGTACAAACATGACGGATGAATCATAGCACAAACTATGACCATTACATTGCACGCACACACACACCAAACAACCCAAGTTAACAATTATCTGGAGCAGACAACAATGGCATTACAACAAATAAATCAAGCACTAATTATGAAACCAATGAGATAAACACAGGAGATTACACAAAAGTCACTGCCGATTCAAAAATAATACACAAATACCAAAGGTCGACCGTGTTTCACATAATTAATAGGCGTTAGAAATCATATTAATTTAGGTTTTATCATTTTTAAATCATGTAATGTAATCATGGGCGGTTCTAGGCAGGAGCCAACAGGGGCCAGTGCCCCTGTAAAACTGACCCCTCCAAAAGGAAGACCCCCCCTAATAACACATACACAGTATTTGACTCACAATCTAGTATTTAATTCTGTTACTGAAACAAACATAAATCATGGTATTTTATGTTGTGGTATTTAATGATGTGCACTATTATTTGGCATTATATATATTAAAGCAATTATCTTTGTCCATTTTTGACCTGGGTTTAATGTTCCCATCTGACAAAACAACTGGCCCCAGTTTGGCCCCCTCAGTAAAAGTGGTCTAGAACCACCACTGAATGTAATAATAGTGTACACAATCAATTCTCCACACAGTGAAAGTCCCTGCTTTGTTTACACATGCATGTTCTGACGTCCTGATGTTTACTGCTGAAAGTTCCATCTTCTCCATGGTAACAAAAATAAACATTATTATGCATTTTATGAAAAATGTTTACTTCAGCATCCTTTGCACAACTCACCACTGCACTGTTGTCTTATTAAGTCTTGTACATATTAGTCTTTGTATATTTTGTATTTGTGTCTTAGATTTCATTTTTATACTTTGTACATAGAGAGTACAGTTCACAGTTCAAAGAAAAAAATCCTTGTGTGTGTAAGCATATATGGCCAATAAAGCTGATTCTGATTCTGGTATGCCCTGCACTACACCACTGCCCACTGGAGATGTACAGTGGGAATATATAGTTTTATATTTATATATAAGATAAGATAAGATAAGATATACTTTATTCATCCCAGCAGGGAAATGTAGGTGTTCCAGCAGCCAGCATACATACAAACACACAACACAACACATATATACATATCCCACCCATACAAAAAACATGAGCCCACAATACAGTTTGATATATGATATATGCAACTCAGGCTAAAGTTTAAAAGTTTAAATGTCTTCTGTCCTTACTTAAAGGGGAGTCGTTATAAAGTGCAATTGCAGTAGGTAAAAAAGTATTTTTAAATCTGTCCTTTTTGCAGCTTAGCTGCTGTAGCCTCCCACTAAAAACACTCTTTTGTTCACACACAAGATTGTGTAAGGGATGCATGTTATTGTCCATAATGTTCAACAGTTTCTGTATCATCCTTCTCCCCATCACCACCTCCAGGGGCTCCACAGCAGTCCCCAGCACAGAGCCAGCCCTCCTAATCAGCTTGTTAAACTTTTTAGAGTCACAAGCCCTGATGCTGCTGCCCCAACAGACGGCTGCAAAGAAAATGACACTTGCCACAACAGTCTGATAAAACATGGATAACATTTTGCTACACACATTAAAAGACCTAAGCTTCCTCAAGAAGTAGAGTCTGCTCTGACCCTTCTTGTAGACAGCCTCTGTGTGGTGCTTCCAGTCCAGTTTATTGTTCATGTGCACCCCCAAGTATTTATAGCACTCCGCCACCTGCACCTCATCCCCAAAGATAGAGATGGTGCTTAGCTCAGGCCTGTCCCTCCTAAAGCCACCACCATTTCCTTGGTCTTTGTTACATTTAACATATACAGTATTATATATACAGCATGTAATATTCCACACAAGGAATTGAAATTATGTACATGTGCATTAAAAACAACCCCAAGAGACAGTCACAGATCTCCACATTATTAAACTATAAACCTCAAAGAAGAGAAAGAAGACAGGGGGAGCATTTATAGGAAAACATCCATCTATCTATCTATCTATCTTATCATATGCAGGGAAATTTTCATAATATTGATGGAAATACATTTATACTTCTACCGCTCAATAATGAAACCATGAAAATATTTGTATTTCTTCCTAATCCAGCAGATGGTGTTGTTTGAGTCACACAAACGCCCCGCCCATCTGATTTCCAGACCCCGCCCACTTCCGCGTGCTGCAGTGAGTTATTACCACAGACCGTAAGAATATTGCTCAATGTTCACGCCCCCTCTCAGCTCTGGCACAGCTCGTGCACCGGTGTGGTTACAGGGGGATGGAGTAGCGTTTTAGATGAAGGAAGGCATGGATACCATTGAAGAAAAACCAAGCAAAACAGTGGACATATACCGTGATACATGGGTCCGCTTCCTAGGTATGTAATCCCATTTTCCTGTGGTAGTCGCTCTTTTCTCGTTTTTTTTTTTTTTTTTAATCTCTGCACACTTCCAAATCAAGAGAGTAGTTGACGTTATCTGAAGCCTTTTTTGACCCTCAAAAACTAGCTCGCTGAAGGTTAGCATGCAGCTGGCTAACCCCTCCAAACATCTATTTTTAGCAAACTTGGCTGTTAAAGGTCAATTTGTTGCCACAGGACGTAAAGGACGACGGAGTCCAAACGCTGTCGTTGCTGCTTTTGTTTCCGTAACGCGTTTGAAACACGAGCTTTAAAAAAAAAAAATGACTTTGTCGCTCAGGTAGGTAGTTGCCGAGCAAGTTGAGGCGGTGACTCACAACCCCGACGAAAACGCCTGAAGGCATGTTCAGACTGACACAAAGCTGTGGCAGATAGAAATTACCGGGACTTGACTTTTTTTTAAAGCTATTGTAACATCTGGATGCTAAGTGTGCAGAGAAGGGCATGAACACACTGAAGGGCATTCATACTGCACCAGTTTCCCTGTTGAATCTAATGTAATGCTCCACCACAGCAAACTTTGGGCAGCAGTATCCATGCTGTGCCAAGAGCATCAATTAACCTCTTAAGAAAGCCAGAATCTATTTTCTCACAAATTCCAATGAATACATTGAATTGAAGTTGTGTAGTATATCTTACAAATCAACGTAATCCTCCTCAACAGCACGGAAACAAACCTTTAACAGCACAGCCTTTTACAGACAGAAACTTTGAGCAGAATCAAACGCATTGGTGAGCAGCTGTCAGATGGATGTGAAGAAGGCAGCTGAAAAATCCTCCAACTTGTTGTGGATTTTTCTGTTGGTAATGAAAGATCTCAAGTCAAAGTCTTTTGTCTTCGTGTATTTTATTGCATATAGTAAAAAGTTCTTCTGCAAAAGGGGGTAATCAGCTACAAAAGTAACATCAGTCACAAGGGCATCAAAGATTCCCGGGGCAGTCCGGGTTGCAGAGCATATTTATACTTTCACAGGGTGTAGGTATTTTGCACATACATGAGTGATACATCGTCATTGGTTTCAGCTTGCCCTAGTGACTACGCCTTCTGCTAGTTTGCCTGGTGATTTATCTATGCAAGCTTCTATAAGGCACCTGGTACCCTTTGTCAGGAGGGCATTGATCTAAGGTCATGCTGTACCCAGATCCTGAGGAGCGTACCTGTTGGAGATACAGAGATACAGTTTCTAATTGCTAAATGACGCACGAACATCCTAATCTTTTAAGGTCAAACGAAGGCAACAGACAGATGTATTTTTCCACTACAAACTCTGGTTTGATTACACGCCACATTTATAAATGGACAGACCCCAAAGAGATCAACTTTGAGATTTGGAAAAAATGCAATTTAAGTGTATACGTCATAATATATAACTTCTGCTGAAATTCATTGTGGCAGTAATTATTTTACTTATTGCAAACAAAGCATTTTATTCTGATATGCATTTTCCCCTTTTGAAATAGTTACATAGTGACACCTTTACTATTTTCTTTTTCTAAACATACATTTCTTCCCAGTCTTTGAATTTTTCCAATAATCTGTCACCTGGAAAAGTTTTTTTTTTTTTTTTTTTTTACTGCTTTGGAACAAATGGTATAGTTGTTATGCAACAAATCACACATTCACTGGCAGAGCCACTTTAAACGCTTTGACATAATGCATTAGCGGATATTTAAATAGATGTTTTATTTGTAGTGCGAGGATCCTTGAATTGAGTAATTTGTTTAGATTTTTTTTTTTTTAAATATTTATTTTTGGCGTTTTGTGCCTTTTTATTGGAGAGATAGGACAGAAGATAGAGTCAGAAAGTGGGGAATGACATGCTGGAAAGGAGCCACAGTTTGGATTTGAACCTGGGCCGTCCACTTGGAGGACTATAGCCTCCATACATGGGGCGCGCACTTACCAATGCGCCACCAGCGCCCCGATTGGTTTCGATTTCTGTTTGCTTTACATGTCATCAAAATATATGTAAAATAATATTTAAAAAAACAAACAATTTTTTAGTAACTTATACAATCCACTTTTGGTGTATTACTGCAGAATGTCTGTATAAAATGAGACTCTTGACTTCTCGACAGACAGTTCTTCCTTTTTTCTCACTCACCATCCAAGCCTTCATACCTTGCACTCACCCCGCGCCATATGTCATTCTTTATCTCCAGTTTCTTTGTTCTTCTTTCAACATCTGGTGAACACACATAGAGACAGACAAAGGTCTGAATGTTGAAGTGTAACATGAAACCTTTTGTTGACAGGCCAAAGTGAAGCTCCAGCCTTTGTTGCTTGGCATATGTTATTATTAACTAAGTACCTTGCTGTAAGATAATCTTATCTTGTCTCTCCTCTTTATAATGTTTAAATTTTACCAGTACAGCTCTCTGCTATGGGGTAAAAAAATCCTCTTATTGTCTTTCTCAGCCTTTAAACAGCCGATATGTTGACTTGACTTAGGAATGTAAAGGTTCCTTTAAAGGTTTACAATCAATGCAAAGAAAATGTTGTTGAGTAATAACTGTAATCTGTTGGTGGCAGGGGACTCGTAAGTCCAATAAGCAACTGAAAACTGTGATAAAGAAGGCCATAGCTTCCTTTAAATTCAATACAATGCAACATAAATGTTGATGTTTTGCACCAGTCAATGTTTCTATCCCCATACTGAAACCTAAACTTAGGTTGTTTGCAGATGCTAACCCCCCCCCCCCACCAATATCTGAAACCTGTCAATCACATTGTATGAAAGCTATTTAGATAATAGTTGTGAAGTAACATAAAGCAAGAAAAAGGGAAACTATGTCTAATGTGGAGCAGTGGTATCATGAAACCTAAGGTAAAAAAAACACAAGTGTCTTATCAGTGAATATCAGATGTGAGGATCAATGAGATTTGTTCTGATCAGTTTCCTCAATAAATTCTGTTTTGATTTCTGCAGTGAAGGACAATATGTAGTCAACATATTTGATGTTTTAATCCTTCCTGGTTTTCTACTTTATTAAGCTGAAGCAATAGAAAAACAAACTGTGTCCAGAGAAAGGCTGCGTCAGAGTTTGACCACACTCTGATAAGTCTGTATTCATGAAGCAAAGATAAAGGTTGTCTGGAGCTCCATTTATCAGTGATTTACATGAACTCTGGCGTTTAGCACAGGTGACGTCTTTATAAGAGCGCAGAGAGGCTTTTGAACTATTCAGCCTCTGTGAAATTTGTCACAATTTCCCAAACGTTTCTATCCGTTTCCACCGTGTCAGAGATAACGTTTAGGCTTATTAACCTCTTGATATATGCACAGGAATCCAGAGACACTGAGTGTTTAAATAATGAATGCACTGCCCCATTACTTTGAATGGAACCGAACCAGAGTTCATTTTTGATAAATGTTAAGTCCTAATGATTCTCTTTTATAGACCTGATTCTGACGTCTTCTCAGCTGGGTGACCACCTGAAGCATTTAGAGGAGACTATGAAGGTCAAAAGTCATATTTGAGTTCATGTGTGTTTGCCCCCACAGGCTACTCCAATGAGGTGGGAGAGGCTTTTCGGGCGCTGGTGCCGCCGAGTTTTGTGTGGGGCAGCTATGCTGTGGCCACTGCATACGTCACTGCTGATGCTGTGGACAAAGGGAAGAAAGCAGCTGTGGTAAGATATTAACGTGTGTGTGTGTGTGGTTTGTCTCAATATGTAATGAGAAAGGAGATAAAGAATATACTAGGTCAACAGCATCTTATATCACTTGTTTGCTAATGCTACAAGGGGGATTAAACGAGTAATCTGATGGCTGATGTGATGCATTAACAAGACAGCAGAACATTTTTTTCTAAGCACCATATGGTTATGCTCATTTTTGTTTTATCAACTTTCACTGCCTCAGGCTACAAGCAATGAGTGAGATTTAGTTGTCTGACATGTAAATTAAACGGGTGAATAGATGCAACTGTTTACAAGCACAGGCAGACGTGGGTCACACGCTCAACAGGTTTGTTATCGCTGTCTTTTATGATCTAACAGAGGCTGGGTCTTTAAATAAAGAGAAGCAGACTAGAATATAAAGTCCTGATAATGAATAAACTGATTTAGTGTTTCTACTGTGTTATAAAACCTGATTGCGACAGCTGTGACTACCCTCATTTTCTTGATCCTCCATCTGTTCCTCAAGGCCCACGGGGACAACCCGGGGAAGACAACACGGGTAGCGGTGGCGGTGGTGGACACGTTCGTGTGGCAGGCCCTTGCCTCTGTGATAATCCCGGGCTTCACCATTAACCGCGTGTGTGCTGCGTCACTATACCTGCTGGGCAAAAGCACCAAGTGGCCCCTTACTGTCCGCAAGTGGACCACCACAGCAATAGGCCTCTCTACAATCCCCTTCATCATCACTCCTATTGACAGGTTGGCTCTTTGTTTGCATGTCGATTATGTAAGCCGCTCATTATGTAAGGTTTGATTTTTTTTTTTTTCTTTGTGGGTAAGGCTTCAGTCGCTGCTGCGTTGGTAGAAAAATCATTGCTCACAGCAGATGAAGTGATGATCTGTCATTTATTTCTTTACTCTGTATTTACACTGCGGGAGGTGAAATCGTCAGTCTGGTGAGATTTTATTTTAGAAAACCAAATTTTAAGACCAAAAAAATTCTGTACAAATGAGAAATTACGTGATGTATATGTGAGTTGTTTTTATATCACAGAAAAAAACTAAAGTCTGATTGATACAGACAAAGAACATGATTATTGAGACCCAGTGAACTGTCATTTTGTTGAAAAGGGATTAGTATATATATATTAATATATGTGCATTTGATTAAACAATACTACCTCATTTTAGTTTAAAAAAAGAGTCTCACTTATAGTTATTTTATATATATTTAAGAACTTAAGTGTTTCGATTGCATTCAGAGGTAATCATTGGGGCGCTCGATAGCCTAGCGGAATCCGACCTCGGCCCTTTGCTGCACATCATCACGTCGCTCTCTACCCCCGACATTTCATGACTCTCTTCAGCTGTCCAATCCAATAAAGGTAAAAATGGCCCAAAAAAGATGAATAAATAAAGAGTGCATTATTAATGACAGAATTAAAGATATGCTAAACCAGGGACATACCCCCGTACACTGCAATATTGTGCAACTTATTTTTAAATGTGTCAGCATGACAGCTCTCCGCAAAAAAAGCCAGCTAACAAAACTGCAGAGTCTTACTCCCTTTCCTTTATTTAACTCAATTATTTTCACTTTAAACAAATATAACAGATTTATAGCCAGAAGAGACGCATGATTCCTTCATTACTTATCTTCAAACCTACACCAATTACCCCTTCCTCCAATAACTTGATTGACTTCAACGCGTCTTTCAGAGTGGATGGTAAAGTAAAATATTAAACGCTCTAACCCTTTACATGTTTCAATTCAAGCGCCTGATAATGAAAACTTTTGGGAAATGGAAACGTAATGAAGTTTATATTCCATTAGTAGGTGGTAAAATATGATGATGGTGTAACCAGCAGTGGAAATAACTAATATCTGGTGCCAACTCTGACAACATAGAAGCTTTAAATGAAAGGTTTCACTCCTCCTGGTTTCATTTGTGGGGCTGCTCTTGTTTAGTGGCAAAAGTAGACGCTTCTTTTCTTTCCCTCTGTAAGGATCAACAGAGAGCTGACTTCACTGATACTCTGTATAGATACAGCTTTTTCATCAACCTCTTCTTCTTTCACAAAATGAATTCAGAAATGTTCCACCATGTCCAACCTCAGAACTTTTTCTCTTTGCTCTACTTGTAGGTCAGTGGATTACCTGCTGGATTCCAGCCTTCGGAAGGTCTACAATGAGGAAGAAAAGCACAAATAAAAAAGGGATCATGCAGGTGAAATGGTCCTCTCCGTGTCAGGGACAAGTCCAGTCGAAGCAGACCGGTGCTGATTATTCCACACTGTGAAGCACTAAAGAAATGTGAAGAAGGATTTCATGGAGCTTGACTCTACGGCCAGTCCAAGATAGAGACATACAATTGATTTCATTTCAAAAGTTTATAACTTTCAACAGTAAGTTAAGTTGTTAAAAATGAAATCCTTCTTCTTTGAGGATCCTTAAATTTAACCCCACAGGGCATTCTGGGTAGTGACACCAGGAGTTATAAGCAGGGATATAACCGTATTAAAAGGAATAAAAAAGTCAGCTTTATACGGTGAAATCCTTGTTAAAGAATTATTTGGCAGAAATATAGTTAGAAGCACTATAGTAGAGTGCTGTTATGTCCTGTGATCCTCCTCACAGACAAACCCTACCTACACTGTAGAGTCTTCACCTCATGTCCAGGAGATATCCACTCCTCCTGTGTTTGTTAGCCATAGTCAGTAGTACTGTAATGACAGGCCCAATAACCGTCTCTTCCATTGCTCACTTCAAAACGTCTTCAGCTGTATTCTTGTTTTTTTCTATACAGAGATGTCTGTTACTTGGAGCAAGCTGTTCCAAGAGATGCACTTTTACATGGTTTCATTCTATGGTATTGTTAAACATGTGAGCCTGCGCTGGGAGCATCTTTCTCACCGTGGTTACATTCTGTTTTCTCTAAATGGTTTACGGGTCTGTGAGACTTGTGCAGTCAGTCAACCTCACAAGTCTTTCAAAATTATTACTCAGTTTAAGTTTTCTCATCTTTTACATTTCTCTGAAAATCTTCTATATGTCTAGTTTGAAAATGTTATCTATACAAGATTTGTTATTTAAAACTGTCTTTTCTGCATCAGGAGTCCACATGTTTTCATTAGTGTTGTAGTACTCCAAAATCGGTCTTGGTCTCAAGCCACTTTTGAAGACCTAGTCTCTGTCTCGTGTCCGTTACTCGGTCTTGTGTCAGTCTCAGACTGGGTGGACTTGGATTTTAAATCAAGACCTCTCAAGACCACCACTGATAGGCTTCTTTCATTACTGTGATTAGAAGGAAAATGCCCCTTTCTAAAAGAACTAATAATTTCAATTAATTCATAATTCAATTTTTATTCCACATTTGATGATATTTATGATCGTGGTCTTGACTTGGTCTCGATCCCTAAATGTCTCGGTCTTGGGTATGTCTTTGTCTTGGTTGGTGTGTTCTTGACTACAACGCTAGTGTTGATTATGTTTGGCTCAAGATAAAATGGTGACATCATTTAAAAAACTGTTATAAAGAAATATATATAGCTAAATCCTTTGAGTTTGAAACTTTACACATAAAATCAAGCTTTAAACACGTTTCCCTCCTTTGATGCAAAAGAGTAGATGCAATATATTTTTCTCTAAAACGTCGAGGTCAGTGTCATTCAAATGCAGGAAAGGGATTATTTTAGAAATACTCAGATGATTTATATTTATGTTATTTGAAGAGCCATAAAACTGTATATAGTGTATCTCATCTTGAGCTATGCAAGGGAAACAATTTGTTGTGTTAAACATGAGCTCTACAAACTTACGGGATTGTTGACACACTTTATAAAAGGCTTGTCGTTACATAATGGTTAAATGTGGGGACGTGAGAAGGAAAATCTTATGCAAATAAATAGGAGCTTAAAATTGGGATGGGCAGTCACAAAGGCATCGAGGGACGCCCTGCATTGGGAATGGTTACCGTTTCACATGATGGAGTATGTATACACAAATGTAGCATTTTTGCAATACTTAGTGTAATGTTTTAGTGTTTCACTGTCCTCTCTGCTATTCAAGCACAAGGTGAGAGTTTGGCGAGTTCTTGTTTAAACTTGTTCCACATTAGATTACCTTTGTGTCTTACCTTTTTGTTTTTCTGTCATACTGATAGAGAAGAGGGTGGTAAAATGGGTTGTAGCTATGCTCATGGTTTGACTTGTGATTCAGACAGTATAGGATTTTTTTAAATATTGGAAACACGTCTGCTCAAAGCTCTGATGTGTGAGAGGTGTTATTCTCACCTTGTTTAAAGAACAGTCTCTTTCATGACTATTTGTCATGGAAAAGCAGGAAAAGAGCAAATGTAATAACAAAGGTGCTAAAGTCAAACATCTTAATAAAGTTTCTTCCCTGTCAGCCATGCCAGTGATTTATTGTGCATATGATCATGACCCTGGATCTTTGACTCCTAAATATAAAGCAACAACTATTAATGTTACACATTACAGTGTGTGTCACATGTTAGAGTTGGCAATGAGGAAGGCATTTAGATGCAGCCCTAGTAATAAAATAAAATATTAATTGTCAATTTGAACATTTCATACTGTTCAATGATCATTGTTGTTTTTATTGTCTTAGCTACAAGTAGAAACCACCCGTTTACCCTTCTCAACATTTCTGTCACATTTTCTTCAGCGCCATTATGTTCAGATGTGGGTTTTATGAGTCACTTTTTCAGCTTTAATTGGGTAAAGAAAACTGCATCTTTCTTCTGCTTACTGTTGTTCATAAGGTGACGGTTATTTTTCAAGTGTCAAATGCTTTGTTCCTTACAGTGGACACTTTATCTTCAGCACTTCTCATTTTCTGTAAGAACATAATGAAACACTGGAGATTAAAAACATTGTAAATCTGTAGTGAAATAAACGATGGAACTATGAGCCTGCCTGGATTTTCTTTCCAAAAACGCAAATCACACCTTTAAAAACATTTGGCCCATTTCACACGTGTACATTTACATGAGGAACTTGCAAAGTAGATTTTCTCCGTTTCATGTAATTTCCAACATTTATCTTTTACCACAAATCATGGACAGCAACCTATTTTAGCTTTAGAGAAAAGTGATCAGCTCAGTATGTGTGTAAAAAATGGTTTAATTAGAACACCTTTCACAGTGTGAGCTCATGTGGCAGAGTAACTACTTAGTCTTTTTGCAGGCACAGTGTCTTCTTCCTGAGTAAAACCTGTCATCATCAGATGAACAGTGTTTTTTGAAGGAAAAGTCAAACCAATGAAGGAGAGCCACTCAAGTCATTTCTCTTGATTGAATCAGGAGGCCACAGCTGAGGCCAATTCTGCAGATGAAGTGAGCACATAAAAAGCTTCCGAAATCAGCGCAGGCAGGTGCAGTGATGTTCGTTCTCATTTTTGTGTTCTTGGCTCTGTTGGCCACATCATCATCATCAGCTCAACCAGGTATGAAAAAAAGAAAAAGCTTAAATGTGCTGTGAGCCTGAGGAAATGTAACCACCACGCTCCTGACATGTTTAATGTGTTTCAGGGTTTCCTCGATATATCCAGGGCCGGTGGATTACCGCTGATGAGAAGCCAGATAATGAAGAAACAGAAGAACAATCACAGGCAGGAGAGGATGCTGTATGGTCCAACAATCTCATGGAAGATGTTCAACTGGTGACACCAAGTGACCAGGACTCGCAGACCACTCCAGACCCAAACGCTATTCAAGCACAAGGTGAGAGTTTCGCGAGTTCTTGTTGAAATTTGTTCCACATTAGATTAACTTTGTGTCTTACCTTTTGTTTTTCTGTCATACTGATGGAGAAGAGTGTGGTAAAATGGGTTGTAGCTATGCTCGTGGTTTGATTTCAGAAAATGGACTCAACCTGTTCATGAGTATGATCAAGATGTATCTAACCGTATAGGATTTTTTTAAATATTGGGAACCCGCCTGCTCAAAGCTCTGATGTGAGAGATGTTATTCTCACCTTGTTTAAAGAACAGTCTCTTTCATGACAATTTGTCATGGAAAAGCAGGAAAAGAGCAAATGTAATGAAGGTGTCACAGTCAAACAGCTTAATAAACTTGACCCTGGATCTTTGACTCAGAAACAGAAGAACACTCAAAGGCAGTAGAGGATGCTGTATGGTCCAACGACCCCATGGAAGAGGTTCAACTGGTGACACAAAGTGACCAGGACTTGCAGACCACTCCAGACTCAAGTGCTATTCAAGCACAAGGTGAGAGTTTGGCGAGTTCTTGTTTAAACTTGTTCCACATTAGATTAACTTTGTGTCTTACCTTTTTTTGTTTTTCTGTCCTGTTCTCAGAGTTGGATAAAGTAGAAAAAACTGCTGCGTGGAAAATCGTCCTGGTTGTAGGCATCCTGTTGGTGTCTCTTGTGGGTTCTGTGAGCATGGCTTATTATTATTGTGTCTGGAGGGGAGGCAGGATTCACTATCAGGCTCAGAAGGAGGGCTTCTCCTAAAATAAAGTACCCCCCCTGAGTAAAAACCTTAATTTCGTAGTTTTTCTCCAACACTAGGCCATGGACTATACAATGGAACATGATTGGGGTCACTTTCTGTCAACAGCTTCTACGAGAGGGTACAGATTCTTAAAACAGTTGTGGGTGCTTCTGGTTGATTTGATTAAGTGTGTGTGTTTTTAGTCTGGGCAGTCAAATACTTTAAAGCACATCAGGCTTTGAAGCTCATGAATGTGAAAATGTACTTTACCTACGAAGAGTAGTTAGAAGGAATGTTTAACTGCATGTGATTTCTGAAACTAGTAATGTACAAAGAGTGTCTAAAAACGGGTCCGAAAGATCAATCAAATTGTATTTGTACAGTGCAAATGATATTTCATGACACTTTCCAAAAAGAGCAGGTTTAGATAGTTTCCCTTATTTACACGGACCCACCATGAGCGCAGCATTTAGCAAAGTAAGAGTGGCATGGATAAACGGGCAGAAAAGTATGTTACAGATTAGTGCCTCTAAATGCCTAATAAACCCTTACGATGTCTAGTCTGACATTTGAAATCAGATGTTAAAAGGGCTGGACATGAGTTTTGTGTGAACAGCTTTAGTCAAACTCTTGAGGACAAAGCAGTTCCTGCAATTGCCACTAGAGGTCAGCACTAACATTAGGTTTGCAATATTTTCCCTCACTGGAAGAATAACTAAACACTTTAAGGGTTATACTTTCATATTTTTGTATTTCAAAACATGGATTTGCACTCTGATCTGAAATTGTAAGACTCCAACCTTATTTAATGTGTTGGATCCTTTTTTATTATTCATCACTTGAAAATGTGTAAATCATATAATATCAAAATCTAAGTGTGTTTGTTTTTGTTTTTTTAACACTTCACTCTGAAAACAGCTTCTAACTTAAGTTGTGGTGGGTTTTCTGTAAATGTTATTTGAGATGATGGCTTTGAAAGAGAAGTATATTCAAATATAACCTTTTGAAAAGGACACTAGTTGGAATTCTGGCAGACATGTTTAAAAAGAAATGATTTGCTGCCCAAACGGGCTGTATAAAGTTGTGTGGGTTGCCCATTGTGTTATTAGCATTTAGCAGTGACATGCTAGTCCTATATGCCTGTATCTCTTGCCTTGATAACTTTTTAAAATCAATCCTAACAGTGATGCTCTAGCTTATTCATTATCAGAGATTCTATCGAACATCTACAGCCCTTGTATTTTCTTTATCTCCAGCCCAAATAACACCACAGCTCTTTTCACTGTGTAAACTCTAGTTTATACTATTGTTTGATGCTTTGGGCAAGTGTTTTTCCCTTTTTTGTAGGAATTCATTTTGATCAGAATTATGGCAGAATTGGCAGGAAGGCTGATGGCAAAACCAGCACTGCTACAAGAAAAGAGTAATGTTTTAATTCAGTGTCAAGCAAGCGGGCTCGGATCAAATCCACAAACATTTATAAGTTCCCCCTTGAGCAATATCAGGTGGCATTAGGGGGCCCGCGGAGACAAAAAGCTGATGAATTGAATTAATCTCCCCTCCTGTGATGGATGGGCCTGTTCACAGGGGGCTGGAAAATGGGAGCATTGTTCATCTGTCACTCAGATTGCCATGTCCCTCTATGATTTGTGCCCGGGTTGTGAAGGCCACAAGTAGCCAAAAGACCTCCCTCTCCCTCTCTCTGTCTTTTTTCTTCAGGAGTTCCCAGCCTTTCAATCGCCTCCTCCACCCCCACAACTCACACTGATATCCATACAGCCAGAAGCAGAAAAACAAGCCTTCACTCAGTACAAGCAAGCATAAATATCTGTCAGTTTGTTTTTATGTACAGTTGGTGTGGTTTGCAATGTGTGCCGGTCACTTAAAAATCAGACTCATAATCCTTGCAATGTGTGCTGTAATGAAATACAGAGCATGGCGATACAAGTGTAATGAATTTGCCACACAACTATGAAATTCAATTATTTGCTTCAAAAATCCGAAACTTGTCAATTATTCACAACAAACATCAGCAAAATCTGACTAAATCATTTCAAATGTAGAGAAAATGCTAAAAACAATGACCTATTTTTTTTTTTTTTTTGGTCTAAATGTCTACAGTTTGCTTCAAAGTTGACAGTTCTTTAAGCTATGTTGTCGAAATACGTGTGCATTATTTCATTTTTTTCATCAAAATATGTCTTGAACATGGAGATAATGACGTCATGGCTTATTTTTTTTCCCTCAAAGTTAGTTCATCCTCTTACCTTGGCATCGAATTTGAACACGATATTCATCATTTAACTCTGAGACCCATATAAGAACAAAGTGGATGATCTTCTTACCGGAACTATCTTTTGAGTTTCCTTGTTTGGGTTTCCAGACTTTCAGAGAAATTAATATTCTGATCCTAGCTAATATTATGTTTCATTTAACCCCTGTGGTCAGAGCAAATAGATTTACATTTAAAGCCTTCTATGCTGCTCAATATTTCATTATAACAAACAATTGGCAACAATAGCAGCAGCAGAACACTTCATCAAATGTGTGAGTGTGTTCATTGTGGGGAATTTTTGGCTCCGAGTCTTTAGTCTCTTGTCTCTGAAGCACCTGCCCCTTCAAGGGCACTTGAGCTGCTAAAGGAACAGGTGCTAAGAGGAGATTCAATAGAGATACAGAGCTCTGATTTCTTCATTGCTTTTGTAGGATGTGTGGATTACAAAGTGAGATCAGATAATATCTGCTTCCATCAGAGCACAGGATACTGGAGACCTTTATGCAAAGACAGCAGCAGGTGAACAGGGGGCAACATAGTATCTGTGGTAAATGGACACTATAAGGAAATGTTGCCTCTAGACCAGTGGTGGGTGCAGAGGTGTTTTAAAAGCTTCCAGACGACTATCATGGTTACAAGGTGGCTGGAAGGAACTCATCCTGAACAGGACATGATAACCAGACGAAAAAAATAATAACTTGCATGCCTACTACTGAAAGACTAAGTCATCCCTCATTATACCGGAATAATTGATTTTGATTGGCTGCTAGATAGAAATGTATTCCTGACAATTGGAAAACTATAAAGTAGTACAGTTGAAACTGTTATATTTACTAAAGTCAAAATGAGAACATGTCAAACTCTTTGACAGGGTTTCAGCTAAAAAAAAAACCAAGAACAATTAAAGAAATCTGAGAACATTTTGCAATTCACAACACAGAGGGCCTGATTCACTCAGACTCAATTGTGTCTGCTAGCAGCTCAAAAATGGCATCATTTGCTACGCTATCTGCTCTGTCTCAAGGTCGAACACAAAATGCGCTGATAATATTCAAATAGAAGTATGTCTTTTTTAAATCCAACAAAGGCTCAGGTGTTTCCCGGGAAAATATGTTGCCCCTTGAAAAAAGACAAACTTAATGGTCTTATTTGTGTTAAGTGGAAAAATTATCTTCAAGGTGTCCGTTATCAGAGATTTATGAACTCTAGGGAAGCAACCGTTCATGACGCTAGCTTCCATGTGTTCCATAAACTCCTGATACACTGCGTCATGACATTATAATAATAATGATAATACTTTATTTGTATAGCACTTTTCTATACAAGTAACAAAGGGCTTTACAACAGAAAATAAAAGCAGATAGACAATTAAAGCAACAGGCAGAGTGTAAACAAGCAGACAACAAAATCAGACTAATAAAATAAAAATAAGAATTACCGAAATCACAGCATGAAAATGAAAGTGTTGAACCAATTAAAACCTAGTGGGGTTAGAGTAAAATAAAAGTAGGGCAAAGGTTATTTGAAGGGGTTAATGGCAGTCCATTCAATCGTGGACAAGATATTTTTCTTAAAACCTCATGGTAGCCTAATCGATTGAGATTAACCTCTGGATTATGCTTTAAGACTTTTAATTTATAATGGAGTTGAAGGAAAAGTAGTACATATTCTTGGCACCATGGATATGTGTGCAATTTTCCAGCATTCGTCCAATGGCTGTTGAGAAAATTTTAATCTCTGGAAGTTTCTACTGACCAAATACTCAAATCACCATCCCTACAGCAATAGCCTGAATAAAAATCATTATAAAGAAACATCCAATCATCAGCATGAGCCGATTTTATTTAACCTTTAAAAATAATGGCTTTTTGTTTGACACCCACAAAGGACAGACTGAACAGCATTCCTCCTCTTAAAATAACAGAAACTTAAATGATCAGACATAATCCTTTGCAATGGGCCATTTTATTACAGTTAAATGATGGTTACTACATGCTACATGCCTCTATCTCTCTTCCTTTCTCTTTTGCTGTCTCATACACACAAAACACACACTCTCTCAGTGCCCCCCTTTAGTGAAGGACTATGTTTGTGGAAGGGCCACTTTAAGGGCACTAACTGAAATGTTTGACGCTCACTGGTCGATTTATTGAGGTCAGCAGAAGGCTACGTTTTGAGAAACAGAGGAGCGGGCTATGTTAGGATTGATTTTCATGAATGATTTTATGCTGTGAGCAAAGAAAAACAAAAGACAATCAGGGCACATCAAATCACGCCACAAAAGAAACGAGAGAAAGGAGAATAAAAAATGAAGGGCAAGGCCAGAGCCGTGTCACAGAGCATTTAACTAATAAATATCAGTTTCTGTCTGCAACATGAAGACAAAAAGCAGGGAGAATGCTGCTTCTTATGCTATTATCCAGACATTCTTTTCTATTTTCTCTTTTCATATCATGTTATTTGTATTTTCTTCTTTTTTAGTATCTTTAGAGTGTATGAACTAAACCAGTTATTGACATATGTAAAAAGATAATTTACACATTAGAAATAACCAAACACATCCAAAAAGGAAATGATGATGACGATAATAAGGGGAGTGATCATCCAACTAACTCATAAACCTGTAATAATAGAAAACAACCAGTACCAGTGTCAGCGTATTTCAGATATTTTGCCAACCGTAAAATACAGTGTACTGTACATCAAGAAATCGGCAGGGGCATGTCTTCATATTATTATTTTTTTATTCAAAGTTTATAGAGCCAGGAAAACTTAATTGAAATTAAGAATCTCCTTCACAGGAGTGCAAAACAGGAGGCAGGAAATTTTCAAAAGACATACAACAGTTACAAACACAGATCAACATATCAGTGGTCACAGAGCAGCAATGCCTCTACAGCCCGTTGCATCTTCCTCCAACAGACAGAGAGCCTGATGCTCAGTGTCATCTGCATATAAATGAAAATTTACATGAGGAACATTATGGCTGACACTGTTAATATAAGTGTGAATAACAGCGGTCCAAAGACTGTGCCCTGAGGCTTGCCATATATTATTTTAAGAGATTAAGAGGTGATTCCTTCTGCCTTCACACACTGGGATCTGGGACTGTTCAGACAATCTCATACTTTGTAGTCTGTGTTTCATAATTACATGGTCAACAGTGTCAAAGGCCTTCGACACAATGAAGGGGGCTGCATAATGTTCTTTATTGTCCAGGGAATCATTAAAATCATTGACTACCTTCTTTTACCATGTGTTTTTTCCTAAAACTTGACTGATTATCAGATCAAATATTATTGGAGGATAACAATGATTTGTGTTAAGAGATTCGAGAGTCTTAGATTAGACAGAAAGTTTAGAAATGCGTGCCAAGCCCTGGACTCACCCCTTTATTTTTACAGAATAATACCAGGATTCATTCTGAATATCAAATACTCTAGGTATTTCCTTTATAACCGTCCAAAAATGTTCAAGACACATAAAAGCAAAATGGCAGCTTTCTTTTCAACAAAGAAACTGTGTTGAAGTGTTGATTGCAGATTTGAACATTGCAACACTGGCTGTGTGCTCTGTATGCTGGCAGAGCTGCCTC